CTCTAGCTACTGCTTTGGTTAAGGTATTTTTTTAAAAAATTAAGTATATATAAAACAGTGGAATATCCCCTGTGTTTAGAATAAAACTAAATAAGATCATCTTCAATACGTCCAATATTCCCTTTCAACAATAGTAACATGAAATAAAACAAAAGGAAAAATTTAAGTATATAAATATATGAGCTTTCTGTTTGTTTAATAGTGTACCCTCAAATTGTTCAAATAAAATGTACTAGAGATTTTGACTAATACTCCAGAAAAAAGTACTGTTTTTATCTGTAGCAGATTCATAAAGAGAGATAATTTTGACAGGAAAATGTAAATCTTTTCATGTCAAAGATGAAATAAAAAGCTAGAACATATTAGATATGTTCTGATACATGTTAGAATTAAGAGACTTCCACAGATGGTGATGAGTTCTGGGGAAAGGGATAAGAAAAAAAGATCACCCTTTATAGATGTTCCAACTGACAACAGGAAAGTTAAAGAAACATCCTGGGGCCTAGTAGAGCCAGAGTGTGACATTATAATCAGTGCCATGTGAAGAAATAACCCACAAGGCACTAGAATGCACCAACTTGTATGTGCTGTAAAGTATTTAGGGAATACTTGTAAAAGTAGATTGGGGGTGTTGCACAGCAAAGGAAACCATGAGCAAAACAAAAAGCCCACCTATGGAACAGCAGAACATATTTGCAAAAGATGAGACTGACAAGGGCTTATTTTCCAGAATATATAAACAGCTCATACAATTTAATAATAAAAAACAAACCACGCAATCCAAAAATGGGCAGAACATCTAGAAAAGCAAATCTCCAATGAAGACATACAATTGATCAAAAGCACATGAAAAAATGCTCAATATTGCTAATTATCAGAGAAATGCAAATCAAAACTACAATGAAGTATCACCTCACACCAGTCAGAATGACCATTAGTCAAAAGTCCACAAACCATAAATGCTGGAGAGGGGGTGGAGAAAAGGGAACCTTCCTACACTGTTGGTGGGAATGCAGTTTGGTGCAGCCATTGTGGAAAACAGTACGGAGATTCCTCAAAAGACTAAAAATAAACTTACAATATGATCCAGCAATCCCACTCTTGGGCATATATCTAGAGGGAAACTTAATTCAAAAAGATACATGCCCCCCAGTGTTTATAGTAGCATTATTTATAATAGCCAAGACATGAAAACAATCTAAATGTCCATTGATAGATCACTGGATAAAGAAGTTGTGGTATATGTATATAAAATGGACTACTCAACCATAAAAAATAATAAATTAAGAACATTTGCTGCAACATGGATGGAACTGGAGATTGTCATACTAAGAGAAGTAAGCCAGAAATATAAAGAAAAATACCGTATGATATCACTTACATGTGGAGGGAAAAAAAAAAGACAAACAAACTTGTCTACAAAACAGAAAAACAAAACAAAACAAAAAACCCCAAAAAAATCCTCAACAAAATATTAGCAAACTGAATTCAACAATGCATTAAAAGATGATAACCATGATCAAGTGAGATTTATCTCAGGGGTTTCAGGATGGTCTGCTGTCTGCAAATTAATGTGATAAATCATATTCGCAAATTAAAGAATAAAAATGGCGTGACTACATCAATAGATATAGAAAAGTTTTTTGAAAAAATTCAACATCAATTGTAATAGAAATTCTCAACAAAGTAGGTATAAGGGAACAGGCCTCAATGCGGGGGGCCACTCATAACCTGAGGACTGCCGAGC